TAATGCATGTTTTATTGTTTAAAATGTCTGTGAAGGCTAAGCCAAGGAAGAGTAAGTTGTTACTCTCAGTATGTTATTGCTTACAAGAAGCTAATTGTTTCTGTTCACAATATTACAAGCATTATTAAAAGCAACATGGTAACTGTTCAATTTTCGTTCAATTTTAGTCAGGCAGGTACAAAATGAGCTGTCTTCTGTGTTTCTTAGTCTTTGTGTCTGTTTTTACACAGCACTGCATTTTTTAAATTGGTCCTTTTTCCTGGAAAGCATGATGGTAAACCCACCAATGTCATTGGGTGCAAAGATGAAGAGTGGTGTTATTGATTGTCAAATTAATCCAATAGCAAATAACAAAATTTCCTAGTAACTATTTTTGAGCATTTAAAGTTGATTTATCATGAAGCATGGGTGTTAATTTAAACTGGGACTCATACTCGCTATCAATGGCTTCATCATGTGCCTCTGCACCAGACTATCAGCACAGTGGCACATATTTATCATTCAGGACTTTGCTGTTAAGCCTCCAGGTTCAAGGACATCCTAACCATATTGCCCCTCTTTATCCCAATGATCAAACAGAGACCTGAAAGCTTCATAGTTCCATCTTGTTTTTTTTTTTCTGTTTTTTTCTTTCTTTTTTTGTTTTCCCCCCTAGTTATGGGGTTGGCTGTATTAACCAAAGATACCTTCTTTCTAGAGCTGAACTGTGACCCTCCTCCAACCCTTCACCTTCATTACACATGTTTCTCTACAGCCCACCTCATTCTTCAATCTCCAGCACCAGTGTAAGATTACAGGGGTGAGGGTGGGGGAAGTCTGTATTCTATATCTACCTCCTCAGGCACTAAAGACCTATTTATTTCTTCATGTCATAAAGTTTTTAATTGTTGCTTTTTTCTCCATGTGAGATTGTCCAGTTTGATATAACACTGTGCCTTATTTCGTTATCCAAAAGACATTTGAACATTTAGTTCTTATTACTCAATTTTTTTAACATATCTATATAAATATATATGTATATATATTTGTTTTTTATTACTTAACTTCTTATTAAATCTTAATACTGATTTAATTGTAAATGGGGACCTCTAATAGTGGTTTGCTAAATACCCACATTAATTGACTGCAACACATTGACTACTTTTGCTGTCAGAATAAAACTTGCAGAAGAATGTTGGAATGATAATATATATATATTTTTTTCATTTGTTTTATGCCTTCCACATCTGCTTGCATTGTAACCAAAGTACCAGAATCAGAATAAAGTTTATTGCCAAGTAGGTTTGCACTTACAAGAAATTTGACTTGGTGTTGATGGTGCAGACAAAGTAGATGTATATATGTACGGAATACAGAATGTACTGTATAGCTACGTACAACATAAAACATGCAATATACTATATGCAACATATAGTACATAGATATATACTATATACATACTAGACAGCATATTAATGTAACGCAGAAGATATGGAGATGCTACATTGGTGTAGTTTGTAGGTTCTGAACGGGGGAGGGAAAGAGACATTGTCATTGTCAAGGTGGTCTCTGGGCCTTGTTGATAAAGCTGGTAGCAGATGGGAAGAAACTGTTCTTGTGGCATGAGGTTTTGGTCCTGGTGGAATGCATCCTCCTTGAACGCTGTTGCTCTTGAAGTCTTAGCCTGTCTATTATTATAAACACAACTAGCTTTCACCTTACACAGCAGCAGTAGCTCTCCATTCCGTCTAGGTCAGAGGTTGGCAATTCCAGGTTCTACTGGTTGATATCCTGCAACTTTTAAATGTAGCTTTGGTTCAACACACCTGAATCCAGTAATTGGATGATTAATAGGACTCTGGAGGAACTGACATACTGAGGAGGTAAATCAGACATTTTATTCTGGGATGTTGGACCAAAGATGGATCTAAAAGTTGCAGGATACAGGCCCGTGGGAACTGGAAATACCCACCCCTGGTCAAGATCTATGGTTTTTGTTATACCTGTTGTGCATACAGTACATCCAACAAGGAAGATTCAGGATGGAAAAGTTATATGTAGAACAGCATAACCAAAAGTCTGAAATCCTGCAAAAAGATTTGTACCAACCATGGTTGAAGGTCCCACCAGTTATGCGAAGAGTATGATATATGTTTGGCAAACTCTGAAAAATGCCATAGAATATTAAGGTCCAAGGCTAACAGGTGATGGCAAACCAACCAAACCCTTTGGTCCACAAGGTAAAAAGAAGGCATATTTGGTCAAAAAGGCAATCCCAATATTTAGAAAAAGAACAACTAAGATGAAACCATGAAGCTCTCAGGTCTATGTTGTAGGCTGCTGGATGTGGTATAGAATCAAATGTTTAAAGAAGGCCATTATGATTTGCTTGCCGATAGTGATATTTTAGCAGCCGAAAATAGCACTGTTCAAAAACAGTTCACAAGCACCTTCATGGAACTTTTCTGTGAAAAATGTCATTTAATAACCAGACTGAACTCAAATTGTTGTAAGAAAAAAAAGAAGGTCAAAAGGTCATTTGCATAGAGAAATACTTTCCTAAATGATTTAACTGCGGCAGCAAATTAGATCTTCAACAGTCAGATGTTATGTAACGGATTTGGACTTTTACAGCAGAATATTAATGGCTTCTCTTATAAAGTCCTTCATTGCCAGACATTTTATCCCTCTGGATTTTGAAAACAAAGCACCAAGCACTTCTGCCTGATGAATAATAGGCCCCCAAAAAGGAGTAGCCTTTGACAGAGAGGCTAGATTTATTTGGCCTTTTCCAGGGTCTCACTTTGCTCCTTTTAATTCACCAGGGAACACAAAAAGGCTCAGTCTTCTGTAACTTTGCTTCATCTCCCTCATTGGGCACTATACTCAACACACCTTTCTCCTTCTGCACACTTTACTTATCTCTCTTTACATCACTCCCTCCTACTCTCACTAAATCCTTTCAAATCATTGATTTTCCAGAGCGTCTATAAAATATTTACAAAGTGTGGGCAGACTTCTTTTTTGAGGACTTTAAAGAAGGGAAGGAGAGATCATTTTGAAAGGCTATGGTATAAGGAGAGAAGGAACAGGGTGGAGGAAAAGCAAAGAGGCACAAAAGGGCACCTAGGTCCATCCAAAGCTGTGGCTTGAATAGCAATGCTTACCTTCAAATAGCTGATGATTATGAATAAATAAACATGCCTTCTATGATAATGAATATTTCTTGTGATGTTTTGAGTATGACCTTTTTTTACTTATTTCTCTATAGATTTTTATTTTTTTTCACTCTCTATACTAGCTCAGCACTTGGAACTAACTAGCTCTGTTGATGTTACAAAGTCAAAAATTAAAGTCCACTGAGTGGTTGCATAAACAATAACATTACCTTCATGAAAAAATAGGAACAGTTTTAATCTCTACTTTTAAAGTTCAGACTTCAGACAGAAAGAAGATCAATTTTATCAGACAAAGAAAACATCACAAACAGTATTCAGATATAAATATTCAATTGATCAAAGCTTGATCAGGAGAGTAATTATGATCCGAGCCAAAGTTTTTGGTTCACTGTGCAAGTATTATTTTTTTCCATTCCAAAACTCCATCCATGTATTTTCTTTACCAGTGGGGGACTTGAAAGCTTGCAGTCTGAAAATGACTTTGTTTATTAGTGCAAGCCAGTTTGGTCTACTTATTATTTATGCTCAGTTGAACAACAATATTTCATTTGGAAATATTCATTTATCACCACAGCCTGACAGGGCTAGTATGGAGAGGTAAAAATACCCAATCAAGAAGTATTTTATTAAAAAATAAATAGATTGTTTTGTACCCTTGATGCTTGTAGGAGAAACAACAACCATATTTAAACCATGGCTGAAAAAGGTAGGCCTTACTCTACAACAAATCATTTTTATTAACAGCCTTAAATAAAACTGCAGGGTTAAGCTAACAAAGTTGAATAGAGCAACAAATGGCCATGTTAAAAAGAATACCCAATGACGCAAAAATTATTATGGCATTGTTTTTATTAGTGAGCTATTTTATTTTAGTTTAAACGTACTTAATATGGGTTCCTTTAAGTATTTTCAGTAATACCTGGCTTATCTATAGCAGAAAGATTGTAAAGCATTTGTTTTGTTGGAAGGTAAACACATATTTTAGTGATGGAACTTAACTTATGTTTATATTTGTGTTTATTAGGAGACATAAATGTTCTATCAGAGAATGAAATTGAAGACTACATTTAAAATGTACTGTTTATTTTTGTTCAATATGATTTTTTGACTTGTTTCTATTCTCTTTACGCATAAAGTCCTGACTTTATGGGTGCTGATGAGATGAATTTATTCATCCATTCGTTGTCCCTGCTTATTCCGTCAGGGTCATGGATGGGCCGATGCCTATATCGGCCAGTCTATGGATGAGTGGAGAGGTACACCCTGGACAAGTGACCAGTCTGTCACAGGGCAGATTTATTCATTCTTTTTAACTAAATTGGCACTACAGAGTGATTGAAATCTGCTCTCCAACAATTTCCAAAAACATTAATTTGTGGTGTGAGAGAGACACTCTTAATGAACCCGATCTGGATGGTTACCTAGATATTATTGTTTCTGGCATGAGTGAATTGGTACATATCCATGAATAGACCCATTTTAGGAGGAAATACAATCTTAAAATCCATGATGGATGGATGGATGGATGGATGGATGGATGGATGGATGGATGGATGGATGGATAATTTTGCTGCTGTCCTGTGTAGCTTTATTATATTGTTCTATTGTTGTTTTGGACTGGTTTAAACTGAATGGTAACTGAGGGTTGAATTGTTTTGCTGCAACCACATCTTCAAGGAAAATATCCAATCCCAAAATAGACCTTCAAAAATATAGTTTCCTCCACTGAACTTACATAATGTGAATAATTGCATTCTATTTAAACCATGCTGTAGGCATTGCTAAAGGGGGATGTTGCCATGCAAGACTGTAATCAGCAACTCTAAACCTGTTTTACTCCAGGTGGGAGGGACAATGTACAACACTGGCCGTCATGTCTCTCTGCGACTCGAAAAGGAGCATCTGGTTAACATCTCCGGAGGCCCAATGACATACAGCCATCGTCTGGAGGAGATTCGACTACACTTCGGCAGTGAGGACGGCCAGGGCTCTGAACACTTGCTCAACGGACAGGCTTTTTCTGGAGAGGTGTGTGAATGCTGTTTTCTTTTTTTGCATTCAAAATGTTGGAATTGGAATTAGAAATTGTCAATGCAATGAGAATACTCTAGAGAAGAGTTCCTCACCTGAGATCTACTAAGTCTGGTGTCCTGCACTTTTTAGATATGTCTATTTCAACAAAGCTGATTTAAATAATAAGCTGATTTGCCGGACTCTGGACAAATTGACTACATGCTGATGGGGTCGTTCAGCTACTTGATAAATATGAGAAAGCAGAGACACATCTAAAAAGTGCAGGATACTGGACCTGGAATACCACAACTGAGTAGCTCTGCTCTAGAGAATCCAGTCGGACTGACAAGAAGATGCTTACCATAAATAGTGGACCCTTGCTCTGAAGAGCAGGATCTGCAATTTTACTGACTTTTAAACTTTGGTATGCATGGGTGTAGAAAACCTCCCTGTGCCTATACTTAGCAAGCTGGAAAGCTGTTTTTCTATTTAACTCATTATCCGTTACACAAGAATGAGCAATGTAGGTAGTGCCTAAATGTAGTCATAACATTATGGCCAATAAGGAGTAAGAAAGTAAAGAACACTGATCATATGTTTCTCCTGGCAGAAAAAGAATATGTTAGACTTTATAATGAGATTTTATCCTAAAAATTGATCTCTTAGACATTAAAATTGGGCGAAGCAGAAATTTAAGTCTGAATGAAAGGCTTCAAAATGCACTGTACTATAGTCATGATGCACCATTTGCTTGAGAAAGTGTTAACAATGGGCAAATGGATGCCACAACCAGAGAATGGAACAAGTTTGCCTGTATTTATTCTTTTATCTAAGTATTGCTTTAGACCAAACGTGACCTTTCTAGAATGTTATCGCCCAGATCTTAATCCAGTCGAGTGTCAGTGAAATGTGTTGGTATACAAAGGGGGCCCTCATTGCACTAACAGGACTTAAATGATCTAGTGCCTTAGTGGCAGATATCTCAGGGCTCAATCAGGGCTCTTTCACTTTTGATGTGCCGTTTCCTAGTCAAGCTCTTAACCTCACTCCTATGGACTATGATGACACCAGGGAGAAAATAACCCTTGGAGAAATGAATATTTCTGGGTTTCCTTTTTAGTAACATATATTTTGCCTTTACATATCCCAGCTATTTATAGTAGGTTATATAGAATTAGTGTTCGTTAAAACCTTTTTATAGCTCTCACAAAATATAAAATCCTTACCAATTAGCATTAGCTTTTCTTAGAAATAACATGTTTGTTTGTTTTTTGAATTTTTTTAAGCCATGTAATTAGTATTGACCAAAAGCCATTTTTACCATTGTCAGTAGCATCACCACTGAAAAAGCTGTCATTTGGAAATATGGAAGAGTATATAATTGGTGTGTATTTTTTAGTCTCAATTTTACACACTTTTCAAAATTAAACAGGAAAGTGCTTGATTATTAAGAGTTTATAATCATAAATAAGCTTAATAAGAGTTTAGAATCATTCTGTTTTTGTTTGTTTTTGTAATTTTAACTGGATTTGATTAATCAGCATTCAGAGCCATTTCATATTAAGAGGTTTTCACTCAGTGACCCGGACAGCTTACCATAAAGTCTGCTCTCTTGCAGAATATGCAGAAGGGGAATTCCTGATTTTCACTTTATAACCCCAGACTTCAGCTGTAGTTATACAGTAGCAAAGTGATCCAAACCAAAAACTGTAACAGCTCAAGTTTAAAATCACAAAAAAGTTTTGGAAGCTAGATCTACCGTAAGTTGAATTATTATGGAAAGACGGTTTATGCTCCAAAACCCTCTAATATGACTGAATAAAGCAATTTTGCAAATAAAAGTGAGCCAGATAAAATATTCAGTGCCAGCCGTCAGATATTACTTGATACCCATAGTTGTTACTAATCTTGGCACAACCAGTTATCAGGTTTAGGAAGTATTTACTTTTTAACGTAGCCTTCGGTTGGTTGGGATATATTTTTGCCATCAGATTATCTCTGTTTGATATTTCTTCATTTGAACTGAAAATATTTATGTGAGACAAGACTGAATGTGAAAGGGGACAAAAACCTTCTTTCATGAGCCTGTACTGTGATAGAAATTGTCCATGACTAAATGTCTTCAGCAATTTTTTTATTTTATTTTATTTTTTGGTTTGCTCTGCTACGCTCAAGCTTCAGTGGATGTTGCAGTTCATGGTCCATTTTAGTCATCTGCCAAGCTTGCTTTTACCCCACTTCTTGCAATTTCATGTAATTTTGTACAACTCAAAATGATACAGGCAGCCCCTCTTTGGAGTAACTTGAATTACAACCAGTGAAGTCAAGCTAAATTGAATGTGGAGGGATCCTTAGAGAGCCAAGACCTGTACTCAGTTCATTTCAGCATCCAGACTGCAAGGTGTCATTCAGAATTTGTTGGGCTTTAACAAACATTTTGTGGTAAAACCAGAGGTTATTTGGTATTATTACACCCATCGATATATCTATAAAAATTTGATATCTATTAAAATTTGTGGCAGATTTTAAAGATCTGAACAGATTATGAATAAATGTAGAGATAAGAGTATGTAATTCTTCCTATTTATATAGGGAGATGTGTGATATCTGATACATCTACAATAGCATGATGATTCGATATATATTTACTTGGCTAGAGTTTTAGGCACTCTGTTTTTTTTCCATCTGGGGTTGGATTTTTGTTGGGGTCTGATGTCCATCATGTCTAAGCTGCATTCAGTGGGTTGAAGTCAAACTACTTTGCACCTATTTGCAGTCTTATGAATACATTTAATCTAACATTGGGCTGCACGGTGCTGCAGTTTGTAGAACTGTTGCTCTGCAGCAAGAAGGTCCTGGGTTTAATTCCAAGCCTAATGTCTTTCTGCATTAAGTGTTTTCATGTTATCCCTGTGAAAGTACTCTCTGTGTACTCTGGCTTCCTACTCTGGTTACCCCAGTCCAAAAACTGGGGTAACTAAATTGCCCTTTGGTGTACTGTATGTGTATGCATGGTTGTATGTGCTGCCCTGTGGTAAACTAGTGACCTGTCTAGGTTGAACCCCACATTTTGCCTATAGACTACTGGGACCCTGACAAAAAGGCAGCAGAAGATAAATGGATGGCACTTAACATTTGGTAAATTCCCTTTAATTTTTATTTTTATGTTTTAAGTCACTCTGAATCAAGCCGACTGAATTGGAGGGAAGAATTAGACCAAAGACTACTCCAACACCAGTGTTTGACCTGTGCACTTCTAGAAGGTCAAAAATGATCAGAGGCACACTTCTAAACCTTTTGGAAAGTCTTCCTGAAAAAACTGAAGTTATATCTTCAAAGCATTGACTGACATTATATTAAACCCAATGGATTAGGAATGGGGTGTCACTCAAGTTTATATGCAGGTGAAGATAGACTACCTAATAATTGTGGCAATATAGTGCACATTGTGTTATATGACATGTTTTAGACACATCTAATTTCCTTCTCTTTAAAATTGCATCTTGTCGTCTCCTGTACATTTGTAACATTCTTAATTTAGGCACTTGCTAATGTGCTCCGTTTCACCTGATTCTGGTTGTCAAAGGTTTTTTGCAACACCTACAGCCTGCAGGGAGTCATATGACATTCTTAATGAGCTTTCACATCGTGGCAGCAATTTTTGCATCAGTGCTTTGGGCAGGAATAAAGTTGTCTTGGTGGTGACAGTTCAGCATTTAACTCTGTACACAGAGCTCCCTCACGGCACACACCTGAACTCACACTGCTGAGCTCTGGCATGCTCAATTTTTTTGACGAGTGAAACAATTAGCTTTCTTGGCTTTGATTGTTCAACAGACTCATGAGTCAGTCATGCCACTGCATTCCGCCTGCATCATTATATGAATAACCAATTTGTGTGGCAACAAAATAATTGCAGCCTTGACAGGGAAATTTATTATAATTAATGATAATCATTTATCCTCCCTTAGAGAGAGAGATATTCTAATACCAACAAAACATGTTTACTGTGTCCTTGGGAGGATGGAGAGCTCTGAAATCCAAGCCTAAAAGCATGTGTATCACCTCCCCTTCACCCCTTTCATGTTTTATTTCACCTCTGTCTTTACTTCCTGACTTACTCTGTAAGGGTGAACTTTGTGTTTGAGGACTGCAGAGCCAGAGAAAAAAGATTTCACAGATATGTAGAGCTAAAATGTGAGGTTTTATGGAGTGTCCTCTAGGCCGGTAGAAATAAGGGGGAAAGGTTATGTTGACAGCAGATTTCCATTTTCAAATGGATATGTGGGACAAATCCAACTTCAAAATATCCACTGTTATACCTTACAACAATTATAATGCAGCTTGAAATCTGGGATATAAAGAGAAAATAGTGCTGCCAGTGTTTGCCCTGGACCTTTCCTCTCAGGTTACAATAACTTGCTTAAAACTTGCATTTCTTTTTACCAAGATACAAACATTATACCAAGGCCACAACATTGAATAATACAGAAACAGAATTTTCTATTATTAAGTGATTATGCTTGGCTTGCTGGGGATCAAATAAAAGATTTTTATAAAAAATAAATAAAACACACACACACACACACACACACAAACAGTAAGTAGAAAATCATTGCTTATTTGCAAACATCCCATCAATACACAAAATTTTAAGAAAATTCTTTTTTAAATCCACACTCTTTAAATTTCTATATTATCGTTTTTTTTTAAAGAGACACACTTCTCATCTATTTAACCAACTTTGTTTCCAATTCTAATAGGAAAAAAACTTTGTTAAAATAAATGTAAAACAGTTTGCCAAGGGTAGAAGTAATTTAGGCTTACCTGCTTCTTAAATAATTATAAAAGAACTGGTACAACTTAAGAAAGGTATTTTTTGTCTTTTTACATCCTTCTTTAAATAGTCTTCTGTCTGTCTTCTAGTTACAGTATTGTTTTAACTTTCTGATTTTCTTTCTCTTTTTCTTTCTAGTCTTTTAATTCATTTTTCTTCATATTATTTAATCCAGTAT